CCAAAAGAAACAACTAAGAGACTATTGGAACTCATAAGAATTTGGTAAAGTGGCAGGATATAAAATTAACACACAAAAATCAATAGTTTTTCTATACAGACAATGCCATAGCTGAGAAAGAACCTCTAAAATAATTCCAGTCACAATAGCTACAAAAAAAAAATTGAAAACCTTAGAATAAATTTAACCAAGGGCATCAAAGCTTTCTATGATGAAAATTATAATGCATTAAAGAAAGAAATAGAAGACACCAAAAAGTGGAAAAATCTTCCATGTTCATGGGCTGGAAGAATCAATATCATTAAAATATACATACTACTGGGGTTGTCTGAGGAGAGAACTGGTGGATGGAGGACCCCCCTCTCCCTCCCCCCTCTGCCTCTGTCTCTCTGTAACTCTGCATTTCAAATAAAATGAAAAAATATTTTTTAAAAGAATTCCATACTACTGAAAGCAATTTACAGATTCAATGTGATCTCGATCAAAATACCAAGGACATTCTTTTCAGATCTAGAAAAAACAATCCTGAAATTCATATGGAAACAGAGGAGACCTTGAATAACTAAAGCAATCTTATACAACAAAAACAAAGCTGAGGCATCTGAATACCAGATTTCAAGACATACTACAGGGCAGTTATAATCAAAATAGTCTGTTACTGGCAAAAAAATAGACATGTAGACCAGTGGAACAGAATAGAAACTCCAGCAATCAATCCATGCATCTACTACCAACTTACCTTTGACAAAAGAGCTAAAATCAATCCCTGGAACAAGAACAGTCTCTCTAACAAATGGTGCTGGGAAAAGTGGATCTCCAAATCCAGAAGTATGAAACAAGACCCCTACGTTACACCTTATACAAAAATCCACTCAAAATGGCTCAAAGGCTAAATTTATGACCCAATACCATCAAATTATTAGAGACCATTGGGTAAACTGTGCAAGACACTGGCATAGGCAAAGACTTCTTGGAAAAGGCCCCAGAAGCACAGGCATCAATGCCAAAATTGACAAATGGGATTATATCAAATTGAAAATTTTCTGGACTGTAAAACACACACGCAGCAAAGCAAAGAGGCAACCAACAGAATGGAAGAAAATATTTACAAACTAGGCAACTGATATATGATTAATACACAGAATCTAAAAAGAGCCCAAGAAACTCAAGAGCAATAAAACAAACCATCCAATTTAAAAATGGGCAAATGATTTTATCAGGCATTTTTCAGAAGAGGCAATTCAAATGGCCAACTATCACTTGAAAAAATTCTCAGGATCACTAACCATCAGGGAAATGCAATCAAAAGCACAATGAGGTTTCACCTCACCCCAGTTAGAATGGATTTCATACAGAAATCAACAAAGAATAAATAATGGTGAGGATGTAGGGGAAAAGATATCCTAATCCACTGTCAGTGGGAATGTAAGCTGGTACATCCACTGTGGAAGACAGTATGGAGATACCTCAGAAATCTGAATATATTGGGGCTGGCACTGTGGCAAGGTAGGTTAATCCTCTGTCTGCAGTGCCAGCATCCCACGTGGGCATTGATTCTAGTCCCAGCTGCTCCTCTTCCCATCCAGCTCTCTGCTATGGCCTGGGAAAGCAGCAGAAGATGGCCCAAGGGCTTGGGTCCCTGCACCCACATGGGAGATGTGGAAGCTCCTGGCTCCTGATGGGCCTACGTCCAGGAGTTGCGGCCATCTGTGGAGTGAACCAGCAGATGGAAGACCTTTCTCTCTGTCTCTCCCTCTCACTGTCTATAACTCTACCTCTCAAATAAATAATCTTTTAAAAAAATTGAATATAGCCTTACCATGACACCGCCATCCCATTCCTGGGAATTTACCATAAGGAAATAAAATCAGCATATGCATACAAATTATATACCTATGTATATTGTAATTCCTCTGAAGGAAATCATGTAGTTCTCAGCCACATTAAAAACACTGATCTATACTGTAAAAGAAGTATTGATGCTGGGGCCAGTGTTGCAGCACAGCATGTTAGGCCACTGGTTAACAATGTCAGCTTCTCCTAAGAGCATGGGTTTGACTCCTGGCTTACTCCACTTCCAGTCCAGCTCCTTGCTAATGTGTCTGGGAAAGCAGTGGAATACGGTCCAAATTCTTGGGTCCCTGCACCCATGTAGGAAACATGGATGGAGTTCCTTTTCTCCTGACTTTAACATGGCCCAATCCCAGGTATTGTGGCATCTGGGGAGTAAACCAGTGGACAGATCTCTCTTCTCTTCTCTCTTCACTGTCTTTGAAAATATACCTTTCAAATAGATAAATCTTACAAAAGAAATAAAGAAGGAGAGAGAGAAAGAGAGATGGAAGGAAAGGAGGAAGGAGGGGAGGGAAAGAGAAAAAGGAAGGAAGAAGAAAAGAAGAAAGGAAAAAAAAAGAAGAGGTTTGAAGGTTTTGCATATGTTATTCACATATATTAGAGGTAGCAAAAAATCGGTATGGAGACTCATTAAAAAAACATTGTGGTAGATCTCTTTAATGATGGCTATAAGTTTTTGGAAAATTTGCTAATAGTGGGGATGGAACTGAAAGAATATGGATTCAAGAGATATTTAGGATTTAGATATTTACATTAATAGAAGCTACTGATGGATTGAACATGGCTGAGACAAATTGGTAGTGTAAAGAAATCTTAGGTTTCTTTCTGATGCTTTAATGGAAGTGCTGAATGAAGAGAGACAGAGACAGAGATAAAGACAGAGACACAGATACAGATACAGACACAGGCATGGACACAGATTGAAAGAGGATGGGAGAGAGGGAAAAAGAGAGAGATGGTTTTTGTCTATTTTTTGATGGTGACAGTCAAGAGAGAAGAGCTAAAAAGTTTGGCTTTAGGCAGTGCAAATACAGTGCTTGTCATAAGAACATATAAGATGATTTGTAGATATTTGGATGTATGAATTAGAATATGTTAAAAGCCCCAAATTGAAAATAATTTAAAAAACTATCAAAAAGCATCTATATTGGAAGGAGTGCACTCATAAAATGTCAAACTGTGAAATACTATTTAGACTGAAAAGATAATGACATGAATACATGTAAGGCATTATTAGTGCAATGGAAAATATTTCATTATAGGTGGACTGAAACTTCAGCTTCAGTGTGAACTAAGAACCAGTTCTCTGTCCAGAGTCTTGTTATTCAAGTGATCAGATGTGTTTTACTGTTCCTCTTTTATATACAAATTTCTTGGCCATATGTTAAATTTTAGTCTCCTACTGAAAGCATGAGCTTTTTCCCTCTTTACAGCTGGATAAATCTAGAGCTTGGTTCATATTTGAAAGTCTGGACTTTGTCCACAACAAAAGATGTGACACAAAATATCTTTCATATATGCATCTATATGTTTGATATGCAGACATACATGCTCACATATGTAAAAGTAAAATATATAGTATATACTGTGAGCTTCCAGTGTCATGATGGCTCTGAAGATGCTCTGAAAAGTATGAAATTCTATCCTGATGTGAGATGTTCTTGTAATACTATTTGATTTGTACATACATATACTACAGTGTTTGGGAGGAGGGTAGGAAAGAAGGGGGGTTTTAATATGCAAATCTGTAAAATAACTTCCTCAACAGAGCAAGATTTTTATCACTCCACCATGAAGGAGGAGAAATTATTGTGCTTTGCTGCTAATTACCCTAAGGTATTTGACTGTTTACAAAGAGTAAGTAAAAGTAAACAAATACTGACATTTCTAATACTGAGCAAATTCCTAATTTCTTGCTTTGTATTAGCAACTTTTTAATGTACCAAGTATCTCCAAAATACCTTAAAATTTGCAGAGTGCTTCACATACATGCTTTCATTTGGATTCCATAGTAATACCCACATTATTTTGTTTATTTCAAGAGAAATTATCTTATTTAGAAAGTAGCAGGATTGTGACTCAAAACAACTTCTCTGGTTCCCTGTCATATGCTCTTTATTTCCTAAAGGTTGTCTTGTAGGTTTTTTTTCTTTTGCTTTTTAATCCTAGAAAGCAATGGGACAGTATTTTTCATTTGTGCATTTATATTATAATAAAAGCCTATGTTCTAGGAATTATATTTTTAGTACTCCTGCCAGTGAATTTTAAAAATATTTATTTTAGATGTGGGAAAAATATAATCTTGCCTCTTAACTTGCTCAGGAAGAGAAAGGGGTCTATGACCGCTGACCCATAGTGACTATATTAATAAGCAGTAGATAGAAAGTGTAAAAGCAATACAGAATCTAAAGTTTTCATCTAAAGTCAGAGCAATTAGAATGATAGTATCTCACACTTACTGAACACTTATTATATGCCTGGCACAATTTAACTCCTTCAATTTTTTGAATTATTTAATTTTCAGGGTAATCAATGAAATAGATATTATTCCTGTCTAAACACAAAACACAAAGAAATGGCCACACAGAAACCATGATTCTTTAGGAGGCAAGGTTCTAATGGGAAAGTTAAACATTCTAGGACTACAAATGTAGAGGAAATAATGATTCAAAGACTGAAAATGGTTTTAAAAGAGGGGAAAAGATTTCTCAGGTTTCACAAATTCTATCCACATATAAAAATTTAGTTATTCCCATTTTATTGGGAATGATTGAAACCGTCCTTACTGTATACTGAATTTTACAAGTAACCTCTATGATTATAGAACTATTTCATTAAAAATGTACAAAATAAATGTCTTCTGCTTCTCAAAATTAGGTGCTTTTCTGAGTATTGCATGAACCCTGTATCTTTACTATATCCACACTGTCAACCACTCATTTTTTAAAAAAAACAATTTGAGAGGTAGGGATGATAATGGGTTTTAGGGTCCAAACAAACTTTCAAACTCACCCAACACCATGAAGTGCTCATATTCTACAAAGGAACACCTTGCAGACATTGTATTATACACACACCTGTACACAAGGACACAAAGGCACACACACAACATTTGAAGGAATGTGCCCGAAGGTTTCTCTACCTACAATTCTGTTTCTTGCCGAGGATGGAAAGAAAGTTGATGGATCATCAATGAGGAAGAGCTCTTGATGATGTCTGCTGAACTGGGCAGCGAAATATTCAGGATGAGGATACTTCACACTCGCTGGAAGTTTCACAGCCGAAAGCATATAGGTCAATGGAGTGTCCTCATTTTGGGGAACATCACTCTCCTGAATAGGCATTTTGATTCCCAATACTTCAGCATAAGTAACTAATACCTCCCAAGGAGCATGGATCTTGACAAAGTAAGTCCTTCCATCTTCAGAGTCCTGCATTGTAAAAAGAGGAAAAAGAACACAAAGCTTCCTGAAATATTTGTTATTGAGATGATTGAGGAAAAGAAATAAAATTTTACAAAATCTCAAACATGTACAAGTATTTTCAGTTAATTGAAATTTTTTCAGCAAAACTTTTAGGAAACCAAATTCTCAAAACGTATGCTTACATAAACAAGGGCATAGGTACATATAATATATATGTATATGTGTGCATGTGTGTGTGTATGTATGAAGGAGAAACAGAAAGAGAGAGAAAGAGAAATTCATGAGACTCCAAGGTGGCAGAAGGGAACAATGTGCTGTGCTAGGATAGGGATCAATAGCAAAACAAACAAACAAAAAATAGCGTAGGAAGTGTGCTGTAATGGGAGAATCAGAGAACACAAAAATGGAGTTTCTACAGAGGGAAGAGGAATGCCATGGGCCTATGTGGAAGCTGCAGGCACACAGCATGAAAATGGACACAACACACTAAGCAGCCGAGTCAGAGTGGGGTAGCAGCTTAGAGATGGAGGTGAGACCAAACTGCGATAACCTGTATTGATATAGCCAGAAGACGAGCATGGTGTGAGTCTGGCCTGGAGACCTAAGGTACTTGCAGACCCAGCAGAAGTAAAAGGGGCACATTTATCTTATCCCATCTTCTCTACAAAAGTGGTCAGCACCCAGCTGGAAAAGGGAAGTGACATTTTGGGCTCCAGCCGAAGCCATGGAAGCCTTTGTGTGTATGTATATCAACTGGCTGTGACAGGATACCACTTAAAATTGATCAAAGAACTAAATCTACAACTCAATACAATCAACTCATTAATGAACATTAGAGAAACTCTGCAAGACATTGGGATATGCAAGACTTCTTGGAAAAGACCTCACAGCACAGCCAATCAAAGCCAAAATTGACAAATGGGATTCCATCAAGAAGCTTATACAATGCAAAAGAAACACTCGGCAAAGTGAAGAGGCAACCAACAGAATGTGAGAAGATATTTGCAAACTACACAACTAATAAAGGGTTAATATCCAGAATCTATAAAGAGCTCAAGAAATTTAAAACAAAATAAAACAAACAATCCATTTAAGAAATGGGCCAAAGACTTTGATAGGCATTTTTCAACAGAGGAAATTCACATGGCCAATAAACACTTGAGAAAATGCTCAGGATCACTAGCCATCGAGGAAATGCAAATCAAAACCACAATAAGGTTTAGCCTCACTCCAGTTAGAATGGCCATGAAACAGAAATTAACAAATGAAAAAAGCTGGTGAGGATGTGGGGAAAAAGATATCTTGGTCCACCATTGGTGGGAATGTAAACTGGTTGTAACCACTGTGAAAGACAGCATGGAGATACCTCAGAAATCTGGAGACCAAGACCTAGTGAATGAGTGGAGCTCATGAACTGGGACTGTGAAAAAAGGAAAAAAAAAATGAGAGTGTGTGAGAGAACTCACAGTGTGGCTGAGATGTGAGTACTCTCAGTGGGAGACGCCACAAACTCGAGCGGCCTTGGCTACTCAGTGAGAGACACTGCAGGAGGATCTGAGCTTACACTGAGGACTGCAGAGATCCTTTGTGTGATCCTTGGTACAGAGCAGACGAATATTATTCCCATCGGGGCTAGTGCTCAGGCACTGATCGCCATCGAGAAGAAGAGCTCAGCTGAGTGGAATTACTTCCCTTCTGATTAAAAACAGAGAGAGAGAGAGAGAGAGAGGGGAGAGATTTATCACACCCAACCTGGGTTTGTCACCTTAAGCACACCCTTAACCCTGAAGAACTGAACAGAGCTCTCTGGCCAAACCCACCACAAGACTCTAGAGAGTCACTGAAAGCAGACAGTCCCCTTTTTATCTTAAGAGTCATAATAAAATGAAAAAAGTAGCCACAGTGGGAAAAAAAAAAGAAAATAACAAGTATCTCCACAAATGGCAAACAACAAATGCAACAACTGAGGGGACAAGAACAAGGAAGACAACATGACGCTCCCAAAAGAACATGATAATTAATACAAGATTATGAAGACAATGAGATAGAAGAAATGAAAGAAATAGAACTCAAAAAAATTTATGATAAGAATATATAGAAGTGGGCCGGCGCCGCGGCTCACTAGGCTAATCCTCCGCCTAGCGGCGCCGGCACACCGGGTTCTAGTCCCGGTCGGGGCGCCGGATTCTGTCCCGGTTGCCCCTCTTCCAGGCCAGCCCTCTGCTGTGGCCAGGGAGTGCAGTGGAGGATGGCCCAGGTGCCTGGGCCCTGCACCCCATGGGAGACCAGGAAAAGCACCTGGCTCCTGGCTCCTGCCATCGGATCAGCGCGGTGCGCCGGCCACAGCGCGCCGGCCGCGGCGGCCATTGGAGGGTGAACCAACGGCAAAGGAAGACCTTTCTCTCTGTCTCTCTCTCTCACTGTCCACTCTGCCTGTCAAAAAAATAAAAAAAAAATATAGAAGTAATCAAAAACAAATGCATGAGGGCCTGCACCGTGGCTCACTTGGTTAATCCTCTGCCTGTGGTGCCAGCATCACATAAGGGTGCTGGCTTCTAGTCTCTGTTGCTCCTCTTCCATGCCAACTCTCTGCTGTGGCCCTGGAAAGCAGTGGAGGATGGCCCAAGTGCTTAGGTGCCTGCACCTGTGTCGGAGACCAGGAAGAAGTACCTGGCTCCTGACTTCAGATCTGTGTAGCTCTGTTCACGGCAGACATTTGGGGGGTGAACCAATGGAAGGAAGACCTTTCTCTCTGTATCTCTCACTGTCTCATTCTATCTGTCAAATAAATAAATAAATAAAAAGAATCATTAAAAAAACACAAATGCATGAAATACTGAAATCCATGCGGGACATGAAAGAAAATCTCTCTTATGAAAATGAAATCTTAAGGAGGAATCAAAATGGAATGAGGAATTCAATAGAACAAATAAAAAACACAGTTGAGAACCTTAAAAACAGAATCAGTGTGGCAGAAGAGAGAATATCGGACTTAGAAGACAGAGCACAGGAAAGCATACAGTCAAACCAAAGAAAAGAAGAGGAAATTAGAAATCTAAAAAATATGGTTGGGAATCTACAGGATACTATTAAAAAACCCAACATTCAGGTTTTAGACGTTCTGAAGGCATGGAGAGAGAGAAAGGAGTAGAAGGCCTTTTTAGAGAGATACAAGCAGAAAAATTCCCGTCTTTGGAGAAATAAAAAGACATCCAAGTACAGGGAGCACACAGAACTCCCATTAAACATGACCAGAAGAGATCCTTGCCATGACACATTGTAATCAAACTCACCACAATGAAACATAAAGAAAAGATTCTAAAATGTACAAGAGAGAAATTACTCTCAGAGGATCTCCAATGAGACTCACAGCAGACTTATCAAACCCTACAGGACAGGAGGGAATGGTGAGACATAGCCCAAGTACTAAGAGAAAAAAACTGCCAGAATATTATATCCTGCAAAGCTCTCATTTGTGAATGAAGGTGAAATAAAGACCTTTCATAGCAAACAGAAATTGAAAGAATTTGTCACCACTCATCCAGCCCTGCAAAAGATGCTTAAAGATGTGTTACACACAGAAACATGGTCATCACATGAAAGAAGGTAAAGGAAGAAAATCTCTCAGTAAAAGATCACAAGTTCAAAGCATATATTAGAAATACATTTGGAAAAGTGGCAGGGAAAAGTCACTACTTATCAATAGTCGCATTGGATATAAATGGCCTCAACTCTCCAGTTAAAAGACACAGACTGGATGAATGGATTAAGGAACAAAACCCATCTATTTTTTGCCTACAAGAAATACATCTTTCCTAGAAAAGTGCATGCAGACTGAAAGTCAAAGGGTGGAAAAAGATATTCCACGCCAACAGAAACCAAAAAAGAGCTGGTATGGCCATATTAATATCAGAAAAAATAAATTGTAACACTAACACTGTTAAGAGAGACAAAGAAGGGCACTATATAATGATTAAAGGATCAATTCAACAGGAAGATGTAACTATTATAAACCTGTATGGACATAATAATAGGGCACCGGTTATTTAAAAGATATGCTAAGGACCTTAAAGGGAGACTTAGACTCCAATACAATATCATTGGGGGACTTCAATACTCCACTTTCAGCTAAGGACAGATCAACTAAACAGAAAATCAGCAAGGAAACAGCAGATTTAATTGACACTATAGCCTAAATGGATCTAACAGATATCTACACTTGAAGAATACACATTCTTCTCAGCAGTACATGGAACCTACTCTAGGATTGACTAGGCCATAAAGCAAGTCTCAGCTAATTCCAAAGAATCGAAATCATACCATGCAGTTTTCTTAGAGGACAATGGAATGAAGCTGGAACTTAGCAACTCAGGAATCCTTAGAGCATATGCAAACACATGGAGACCGAACAATATGCTCCTGAATGAAGAACAGGTCACAGAAGAAATCAAAAGAGAAATCAAAAACTTTCTGGAAGCAAATGAAGATAACAACACAACATATCAAAACTTACGGGATACAGCAAAAGCAGTGTTAAGAGGAAAGTTTATAGCAATAGGTGCCTATATCAAAAAACTGGAAAGGCACCAAATAAATGAGCTATCAATGCATCTCAAGGATCTAGAAAAGCTGCAGCAAACCAGACGCAAAACTAGTGGGAGAAGAGAAATAATTACAATTACAGAAGAAATCAACAGAATTGAGTATGAAAAAAAAACATTACAAAAGATCAGCCAAATGAAGAGTGAGTTTTTTTAAAAAATAAACAGTTGACACTCCATGGACACAACTAATTAAAAAAAAGGAGAGAGAAGTACCAAATAAATAAAATCAAATATGAAAAAGGGACTGTAACAACAAACACCAGAAATTACTACAAAGAGTTGTATGCCAGCAAACAGGGAAATCTATCAGATATGTTAGATTACTGGACAAATACAACATACCTAAATTGAACTATGAAGACAACCTAAACAGACCCACAATTGAGACAGAAATTGAATCAGTAATAAAGGCCATCCTGGCCTGCGCCGCAGCTCATTTGGCTAGTCCTCTGCCTGCAGCGCCTGCACCCCAGGTTCTAGTCCAGGTTGGGGCACCGGATTCTGTCCCAGTTGCTTCTCTTCCAGTCCAGCTCTCCTCTAGCCCTGGAAGGCAGTGGAGCACAGCCCAAGTGCATGGGCCATGTACCCATATGGGAGATGAAGAGGAAGCACCAGGCTCCTGTCTTCGATCAAGCAGTGAGCCAGCCGCAGTGACCAGCCGTAGCTGCCATTTCAGGGGTGAACCAATGGAAAGAAGACCTTTCTTTCTGTCTCTCTCTCTCTCACTGTCTAACACTGCCTGCTAAAAAAAAATAATTTTAAAGGTACCTCTCAACAAAGAAAAGCCCAGGACCAGAGGCTTCAATGCTGAATTCTGCCAGACATTTAAAGGAGAACTAATTCCAATTCTTCTCTAACTATTCAGAACAACTGAAAGAGAGGGAATCCTCCAAAATGCTTTTTATGAGCATCACCTTAACCTAAACTTGAAAAGGATGCAGCAGAGAAGGATAATTACAGACCAATTTCCCTGATGAACATAGACGCAAAATCCTCAATAAAATTCTGACCAATACAATGCAACAACACATCAGAAAGATCATCCACCCAGACCAAGTGGGATTTATCCCTGGTATGCAGGGATGGTTCAATGTTTGCAAATCAATCAATGTGATACACCACATTAACAGACTGCAGAAGAAAAACAATATGATTATTTCAATAGATGCAGAGAAAGCATCTGAGAAAATTCAACACCCTTTCATGATGAAAACTCTAAGCAAACTGGGTATAGAAGGAACAATCCTCAATGCAATCAATGCAATTTATGAAAAAATCATGGCCAGCATACTATTGAATGGGGAAAAGTTGGAAGCTTTCCACTGAGATCTGGTACCAGACAGGGATGCCCACTCTCACCACTGCTATTCAATATAGTTCTGGAAGTTTTAGCCAGCGCCATTAGGCAAGAAAAAGAAATTAAAGGGATACAAGTTGGAAAGGAAGAATTCAAACTATGCTTCTTTACCGATGATATGATCCTTTAGGGGATCCAAAGTACGCTGAAGCAAGACCCCTACCTTACACCTTACACAAAAATACACTCAACATGGATTAAAGAGCTAATTCTACGATCCGATACCATCAAATTATTAGAGAACATTGAGAAACCCTACAAGATAAAGGCACAGGAAAAGACTTCTTGGAAAAGACCCCAGAGGCACAGGCTGTCAAAGCCAGAATTAACAACTGGGATTACATCAAATTGAGAAGTTTCTGTACCGCAAAAGAAATAGTCAGCAATGTGAAAAGGCAATGGACAGAGTGGGAAAAAATATGTGCAAACTATGCAACTGATAAAGGATTAATAACAGAATCTAAAAAGAGATCAAGAAACTCCACAACAAAAAAAACCTAACAATCCACTTAAGAGATTGGACCAGGACCTAAATAGACATTTCTTTTTTTATATAAATTTATTTATTTTTTATTTGAGAGTGAGAGTTACACAGAGAGAGGAGAGGCAGAGAGAGAGAGAGGAATTCCTTCCGATTGTTTACTCCCAAATTGGCTGGAAGAGGCAACAGCCAGAACTGCGCTAGACATTTTTCAAAAGAGGAAATCCAAATGTCCAACAGACACATAAAAAATATTCAGGATCACTAGCAATCAGGGAAATGCAAATCAAAACCACAAGTTCACCTCACCCCAGTTAGAATGGCTTAAATATAGAAATCAAGAAACAACAGGTGCTGGCGAGGATGTGGGGAAAAAGGGACACTAACCCACTGTTGGTGGGAATGCAAACTGGTAAAGCCACTATGTGAGTCAGTTTGGAGATTTCTCAGAAACCTGAATATAGCCCTTCCACATGATCCAGCCATCCCACTCCTTGGAATTTACCCAAAGGAAATTAAATTGGCAAATAAAAGAGCTGTCTTCACCTCAATGTTTATTGTAACTCAATTCACAATAGCTAAGACCTGGAATCAACCTAAATGCCCATCAACAGAAGACTAGATAAAGAAATTATGGGATATGTGCTCTACAGAATACTAAAGAGCACTAAAAAAATGAAATCCAGTCATTTGCAACAAGATGGTGGAATTTGGAAAACATCATGCTGAGTGAATTAAGCCAGTCCCAAAGGGACATATATCATAGGTTCTCCCTGATCTGTGACAACTAACTGAGCACCTAAAAGGAAACCTGTAGAAGGGAAATGGACACTATGAGAAACAATGACTTGATCAGCCCTTGTCCTAACTGTCGAGGAACAACTTAATACTCTATCCCTTTTAGTATGTTTTTCTAATTAATATTATTGGTTGAACTCTTTGATTAACACATAATTATTCTTAGGTGTTTAAATTTAACTGAAAAGTGGCCCCTGTTAAATATAAGAGTGGGACTGAGAGAGGGACGACCAGTACAGTTCGGCACATGCTCTCTCAGACTTACTCCTAATGGTAGAGCTAGAAACATGCCAGGGGATTCCAACTCAATCCCATCAAGCTGGCATGTACCAATGCCATCTCACTAGTCAAAGTAATCAGTTTAAGTTCATAATTGATCATAATGATAGGATTAAGTGTCAAAGGATCACATAAACAAGACCAGTGTCTGCGAATACTGATAGAATTAAAAAGGAGAAAACGATCCAACATGGGAAGCAGGCTACACAGCAGAATCATAGAATGAAAGGTGTCCTAAACAGCATTCTGGCCTCAGAATCAGCCCTTAAGGCATTTGGATCTGGCTAAGAAACCCATCAGAGTTTCTCAGGCATGGAAAGGCAAGACACTCTGGCAAAAAAAAAAAAAAAAAAAAAAAAAAAAAAAAAACAACAACAACCACCCTAAATGAAAGATCTCTGTGAGTGAGATCCCACTTGCCACTTATGTGGAAGACTTGGACTGTGTTGATATAGCCAGAGGAAGACCATGGTGTGAGTCTGGCCTGGATTGTGGTCTGGATTATCTGGCTTCATTGCGGATAAGAGTGCTCTATCTCAAACAATATTTAAATAAATAAAAATTTTACAAAATAAGATTCAGGTATAAATATATATTGAAACTTACCCTCTTGTCTTCAATTTCCAATTCAAGACCTGATTTTCGGAGATTTTGCTCAAATTCTTTTCTTCTTTCCTTTAGCAAAACAAACAGAATTATGCAGAATACTTTTATTCTTATTTGTTCAATGAGAGACTTGGTACACGATGGCCAAACTTCTAAGTGTTCTGTGTCCCACCCCAGTTATTTTAAAAAGGCCTCCGTGTATTACGTCAAACTTAATGTCATGTACTGTTTTCCATCTGTACAATAATTCCCAATAATCATAAAAATCCAATATATCCTATAATCTCTGGGAAATATGCAGCAGAACTTTTAATGGAAGACATATAAAAACTTTACTGAATAAAATACTGCTTTTTAAATAAAAGCTTTACAATAAGACAAATATATCATGCTGTTATTTGGGATGACTCAGTATTACAAAGTTCAATACTCTGCAAATAAATTATATATTTAATTCAACTTTAAGCCAAAATGTCAATATGACTTTTTAATCTTGAAGGATAGAATGGCTTCACACAGAGAAAAATCAAATTAAACTATAGGTCATTAGTTCACATAATCAAATTATGTAGACTTAAAAACAATTCACTGATCATCAATATTTTTGCTTGAACTGTGAGTAAAGTATAACAAAATACACACTAAAATTTTAAAATACTTAATTACAGTATCTTCAAACACTAATCTTCAAATAGGCATGTCTTGAGTATGTATAATATGTTTTTTAAAAAGCTAGGAGAGAGGATTTTGAATGTTTTCACCAAAATGAGGGTAGATATTGAACACTGTACAATATAGGCCTGTATCAGGGCCTGCGCTGTGACACAGCAGGTTAAAGCCCTGGCCTGCAGCAATGGCATCCCATGTGGGTGCCGGTTCTTGTCCCAGCTGCTCCTCTTCTGATCCAGCTCTCTGCTATGGCCTGGGAAAGAAATAGAAGCTACCCAAGTCCAAATGACATAAAGAGAAGATTCTAAAATGTGCATGAGAGAAATGCCAGATTACTTTCAGGGGATCTCCAATTAGACTCACAGCAGACTTCTCATCAGAAACCCTACAGGCTAGGAGAGAGTGGTAAGATATAGTCCAAGATTAACAGAAAAAAAAAACTGTCATCCCAGAATATTATACCCTGCAAAGCTCTCATTTATGAATGAATGTGAAATAAAGAATTTCCATAACAAATAGAAATTGAGGGGACAGCTCTGTGGTGTAGCAGCCGCCTGCAGTGCTGGCATCCCGGACATTGTTTCCAGACCCAGTTGCTCCACTTCTGATCCAGCTCTCTGCTATGCCTGGGAAAGCAGCAGAAGATGGCCCAAGTGCTTGGGCCCCTGCACCCACATGGGAGACCTGGAAGAAGCTCCTGGCTCCTGGCCTCGGATCATCACAGTTCCGCCTGTTGTGGCCAATTGGAAATGAACAAGCTGATGGTAGACCTCTCTCTGTCTCTCCTATCTCTGTGTTACTCTGGTTTTCAAATAAATCAATAAATCTTTTAAAACAAAAAATGAAATGGAAAGAATTTGTCATCACCCATCTAGCCCTACAAAAGATGCTTACTGATGTGCTGCACACAGAAACATGGTCATCACTACAAAAGAAGGTAAAGGAATAAAATCTCTCAGTAAAAGATCAAAGGAAGTTCAAAGTAAAAATTAGGAATATTTTTGGAAAAATAGCAGGGCAAAGTCATTACTTATCAATACTCCCCTTGATTGTAAACGGCCTCAACTCCATAGTCAAAAGACTAGACTTGCCAGCACCGCAATTCACTAGGCTAATCCTCCGCCTGCGGCGCCAGCACACCGGGTTCTAGTCCCAGTCGGGGTGCTGGATCTGTCCCTGTTGCTCCTCTTCCAGTTCAGCTCTCTGCTGTGGCCCGGGAGTACAGTGGAGGATGGCCCAAGGGCTTGGGTCCCTGCACCCACATGGAAGACCAGGAGGAGCACCTGGCTCCTGGCTTCAAATCGGCACAACGTGCAGCCATAGCGGCCATTTGGGGGTGAACCAAAGGAAAAGGAAGACCTTTCTCTCTGTCTCTCTCTCTCACTGTCTAACTCTGTCTTTCAAATAATAATAATAATAATAAAATTTTAAAAAAGACCAGACTGGCTGACTGGATTAAAAAATAAAACCCATGTATGTTCTGCCTATAAGAAACATATCTCACCAACAAAGATATATGCAGACTGAAAGTGAAAGGATGAAAGAAGATATTCCTTGCCAAAAGAAACCAAAAAAGAGCTGGTATAGCCATCTTAATATCAGAAAAATATTAACTTTAACAGAAAAACTGCTAAAAGAGTCAAAGAAGGGTACTATATAATGTTTAAGGGATCAAATCAACAGGGAGATGTAACTATTATAAACGTGTATGCACCTAATTACAGGGAACCTGGCCAATTAAAAGAAATATTAAGAGATTTAAAGGGAGACTTATACTCAAATACAATAGTATTGGAGGACTGCAAAGCTCCACTTTCAGCAATGGACAGATCAACCAGATGGAAAATCAACAAGAACACAGCAGAATTAATCTAACTATAGACCAAATGGAACTAACAGATAACTACAGAACTTTTCACCCTACAATTCCAGAATACACATTCTTCTCAGCAGTGCATGGATCTTTCTCTAGGATTGACCATATACTAGGCCATAAGCAAGTTTCAGCAAATTCAAAAACTGAATCATACCATGAATCTTATTGGACCACAATGGAATGAGGTTGGAAATCAGGAAGTCAGGAATTTCTAGAGCATATGCAAATGCATGGAGACTGAAAAACATGCTCCTGAATGAGAAGTGGGTCATAGAAGACATAAAAAAAAATAAAAAAATTTCTGGAAACGAATGCAGATGACAACAAAACATATCAAAACTTCCATGATACAGCAAAAGCAGTGAAAAGAAGAATGTTTATAGCAATAGGTGTCAACAGCAAGAAATTGGAGGTCAGTGCTGTTGCTCAGTCAGTTAAAGTCATGGCCTGAAGCGCCAACATCCCATATGGATGCCAGTTCAAGACCCAACTGCTCATCTTCTGATACAACTCTCTGCTATGGCCTGGAAAAGCAGTGGAGGATGGCCCAAATACTTGGGCCCCTGTACCCACATGGGAGACCTGGAAGAAGCTCCTGGCTCCTGGTTTTGGATCAGTGCAGCTCTGGCAGTTGCTGCCATCTGAGGATTGAACCAGCGGATAGAAGACCTCTCTCCTGTCTCTACCTCTCTGAAACTTTTCAATTAAATAATATAAATCTTTAAAAAAATTGCAAAAGCACCAAATAAATGAGCTATTGATGCATCTCAAGGATCTAGAAAAACAAGAATAAACCAAGGCCAAAACTACTAGGAGAAAAGAAATAATTAAAATTAGAGAAGAAATCAACAAAATTGAATCCAAAAAAAAAAACATAACAAAAGATCAGCAAAAGGAAGAGCTGGTTTTTTGAAAAATAAACAAAAGTGACACACCAGTGGCCTAATTAACCAAAAAGACGACAGAGAAGAACAAAATCAGTAAAATTAGAGATTAAAAAGGAAATGTAACAATAGACACCAAAGAAATAAAAAGAATCATCAAAAATTATTACAAAGAGCTATATGCCAAGAAGAAATAGATTCATGGACACATACAATCTACCTAAATTGAGCCATAAAGACATAGAAAACCTAAATAGACCCATAACACAGGCAAACAAAGAAAAGCCCAGGACTGGATGGCTTCAATGCTGAATTCTACCAGACATTTAAGAAGAACAAATTCCAATTCCTCTCAAGTTATTCAGAACAACTGAAAGAGAGGGAATCCTCCCAAATTCTTTCTACAAAGCCAACATCACCTTCATTCATAAACCTGAAAAAGACGCAACCGAGAAAGAGAATTACAAACCAATTTCCCTGATAAACGTAGACACAAAAATCCTCAACAAAATTCTAGCCAATCAAATCCAACAACACATGAAAAGATCACCCACCCAGACCAAATGGGATTTATCCCTGGTATGCGGGGATGATTCAACATTCGCAAATCAATCAATGTGATACACCACATTAACAAACTGCTGAAAAAGAAAAACCCCACATGATTATCTCAACAGATGCAGAGTAAGCATTTGACAAAATACAATTTCCTTTCATGATGAAAACTCTAAGCAAATTGGGTATAGAAATAACATTCCTCAATACAATCAAAGCAATTTATGAAAAACCTGTGGGGAGCAATCCGGACTGGACTAAGTTACTGGAATTAAGACTTATTCTATGCATCTGCTCTCCCACAATATGGCGCTGGGAGAGAAGTAAACAGCTTCTGCACAGCTGCCTCCAGTTCAATCAATAAACTGTAGGACTTGCTCCTGATTGGAGAGCAGCGTACTCGGCGTGTGGGCAGCCGAGTTAGGATTGGCGGAGGAGGACTATAAAGGAGGAGAGAGACGGCATGCACCAGGAACATCTATGAGGAACATCTAAGGGGAACATCTGAGGGAACACCTGTGCAGCCCCCCGAGAAAGCCGGCCGGCGGTGTGCCGCTCCCCTGCGGAAGTGGGGAATGTGGCCAGGGGGAACTGCCCTTCCACGGAGGTGGAAGGGATAGTAGCCAACCCGGGAAGAACCAGCAGCAAACCCGGGGAGGGCCGAGCAGACGAAAGAACAGCGCAGGGTCCTGTGTCGTTCCTCCATGAAGAGGGGGAGTGACAAAACCCACAGCCAACATTCTATTAAATGGGGAAACGTTGGAAGCATTCCCAGTGAGATCTGGTACCAGACAGGGATGGCAACTCTCACTACTGCTATTCAATATAGTACTAGAAGTTTTTTGCCAGATCCATTAGGCAAGAAAATGAAATCAAAGGGATGCAAATTGGGAAGAAGGAAGTCAAACTATCCCTCTTTGCATAAGACATGATTCTTTATATAGAGGATACAAAAACTCCACTAAGAGGCTATTGGAACTCATAGAAGAGTTTAGTAAAGTAGCAAGATATAAAATCAGTATACAAAAATCAACAGCCTTTGTATACACAGACAATGCCACAGCTGAGAATGAACTTCAAGATTA